GGGGGGGGGGGGGGGGTGACAGGTCTCTGGGGAACGAACAAACACGTCTGCCTCGCTGAGAAAGTGTCTCAATAGGTACCACTTGGCTGCAGGAGGAGGAAAGGTGCCCGGCACTGCGTGGGAGGATTAATCCACCTTGACAATTGTGCTGCAGAATGTAGCCACAATGATGGTATACTGCCGCTTTCTGTGGACACTGTTTGGCTGAACTGAGGCTGTTTTCGTTTATTCTGGATTTTGTAAAGTATTTGTGTGCAGAGGTAGAAAAAGTTTGACCACTGGAACAAGATTAGATAGCAGAACCACACAGTAATCATCTGTAACAGTTTCAAATGTGTTTTCCTATCCTTTATTGATTCATGTGATACATTAGGCATACATTAATGGAAATTGATATGAAAATCCTTATTTGACCATCTCATTCATCTTTTTAATATTTGAATTGACAAAAGTCTGCCTCACGTTCACTTTAAATTCAATAACCCTATAAATACATAAAACTTGCTTCAACTTTTGCCGTTCTTCACATGAAATCGTTTTATTAGTTACACCTGTACAGTTGACTGCAATGTAATGTAGCAGCCCTACAACAAATCTTATTTTTTTTATTAAGCCAATAATGAAAGCAAACTAAACCACTCTTTTGGTAATTTTTGAGGTTGTAGTTAGTGTGGAACTGATCTTTACTGAAGGGTATTTCTAAAATTTTGATTGCTACCCCAATTGGCCGCAAGCAGTAAAACCAGGCAAACAATTTAGAAAGGCCTGACGCAGGAAGGCAAGTAATCAGGTGCAGGTGACAGCAATGGCTGGAACGCTTCAACAGCTTGGCAACATGGACAATCTGTCAAAGACCAGCTGAACACTGGTCTCTGTATTTACCCTGTGACTGACTGAATGAAGAGCAGCTGGGTAGGCAGGCAATGGGGTCTAGTAATCTCAAGAGGAGGTCAACTCATCGAGGGCAACTAGAGGGCACGTGACGTAAAACATGGAATGGAAAATTCCAGGAAAGATGCAGTTGGAGAAGGAGAAGAACGAGGCTGAAGAGAGGGAGGCAGTGCAGTCATGACAGAAACCCAACATCCTTCCAAGAACTTGGACACGGGCTGACTTGGCTCAGAGGGACTGGATGGCGGTGGACTGGTTCCAAACTGACTGAGGCAAAGAGCAGGGAGAAACGTGTCTCCTTCAGGCCCAAGTCTAACTGGAACTGAAGCTCAGGAAGGGCAGGCTGAAAAGATACAGACTCTTAAAGAGTCTGTATCTTTTCGGTAAGCAGGTTCTGGTAATGAAACATGACATGGATCTGAAAGGGAGACTGGTGCAGACTCAGAGAGAGGGACTGACTCTGGCACATATAGGCTGACAAGGCTCAGACTGAGGAGAAGAAGAAAGGCACTGAATGAAAACTGGTTCTAACTGAGGTTCAGGCCCAGGTTCAGACAGAGAAGCAGTCTGTCAGAGAACAATTGGATCAGGATCAGACAGTGAGGCAAGTTCAGGCTTAGAAGATAGACAGACTCAAGATTAAATAGAGCTGGATTTCACAGTGGTGAAAAGGCAGTCTTCATAAAGAGTGCCGAGGTGTGATAATTGTTTAAATATGGCAATAAGGCGCACATTTTCAGACAGTCTGTCCAGGAAGGCATATTCATAGTGTTGCACTATCCATGAAAAGTGACGAGAGTGAAAGTCAGGCCCTGCTTTCTTACCTCCGTACAGATGGTAGATTGCTGTGAAAAGTTGGTGTGGATGTCAGATTGACGATTTAAGGAAAGTTAGGGATAAGGTCAGACAAGGTGTGGAAAGATGTGGGAGGGGATTTCTGAAGCGGTTCAAGCTGTTCTTGTGAAGTATACTGGTGTCTTTAGACACAGAGATGAGGTTCAGGTTCATGTTCAGATGCAGAAGCAGAAACAGGCTCGGACAAAGAGAGAGTTTCAGGTTCAGCCTCAGAAAGAGGGACAACAGAGAGATATTGCTGATTTCTTCCAAGCAAATTGTAATGGGTTGCTGGAGTTATGAGCTCCCAATATGGTTCTGACCTTGACATCAGATTTAATGCCAAAAAACACAAATAGTTTTCAAAAGGAAAGCACGAGTGTTCCTCTTCCACTCAAGTAGAGATGCTCATTGAATAAGAAGTGAATTCCAAATCTGTAAGTAACTATTTATTTCTCCATGTACCATATGACTCAAATAAAATGAGGTGTAACTCTTAATTTTATATGGTTCACTTTTCATAGATTCAATGCAATCAGTAGTTTCTGCCAAAATAAATACAATTGGTTTTACAATCAAAATCATGCTAGAATAAAATGTTCTTCTCGCAGCAAAACAACACTGGCAACTGAGCTGTCAGCAAAGTGAGGGAGTCTGAACATGAGTCACTCACAGGGCTTATGTTCACAGACAATACCCAGTATCACAAAGTAGTCCTTGGTGGGTGTTTTCAGACACTTATGATCCACTGTGGCACTCAACATGAGAGGTTTTTAAGGAATGGTATTGTGTTTCAGCGCTGCAGCAAATTTAGTGGAATATTTCTGACAGGAAATGTCTCCACAGAGTGTGTGGACACAGAATATGTGTAAACCCAAAGAAGGGGCTGGTCTGTATGGAGATTACATGTGGTTTTCAGTAGGTATGGCCCGGGATCAAACTCATAAACTGCCTAAATCAGGACAGACGCCACATGCTTTGAGATGATTCATTCTTAAAGTAGTCACCAGCAAAAAATGAAAACATTAAAGCCGCACATTTAAAAAATAACAGTGGTTTGTTTTCAAACAGCACTTAAAAATGTTAACCGTAGGGCAACAGTATAGTGTCATAAACCATTTATTCAATGTTTATATACTGCTTATGTATGCTATGGGGGTTAAATTAAGGGTTACCTGAAAAAGCAAAAAAACAAACAAAATGTAAACTACCTGGTCAGCAGCAAATTGCAATCAGACACAGTTAGTGACTTAGCTGCTAATTCTCCACTATGTTAATCAGCTAAAGAGCAAGATATTTCAGGAGATCAAACCAGAGCTAAAAGGAGAGTGAATGCATTTATGCCATTTCATTTGTGTATCTGGCGACCTGATGAGTCTAGTGTTCAAAGTCAGCTGAATGACTCACACAGAT